GGGGGTGCAGCCAGAAGAGTGGGAAGAAAGTGGGAATGAGGAAGAGGTGGAGAGTGCTGCTAGTAAGAAAATATCACATGGTGCTGCTCTTAATCATTTGGAATTCTTGCTAGACTATCTTGAGAGTGAAGAAAACAGTTTATTAAGTGACAAGTTAATATTATGTAGGCTTCGTACAGATGTCCGTAAAAAGGAAAATGGCGCGAAAAAGCAAAGGACAATATTAAACTTTTTAAGTGTTAAGTGTGAATATTCATAAAAAGTGTTGGATATTGTTGAACACTGTGATTGAAATAACTAATTCATACTTCAGTGTAATGTAAAACAAGTATTAAATAGGCCATTAGATGACATAAAAATGAGGTTGAATAAATTTAAATACAGGAAGACCTATAGTATTACGAAGGTACAGTATTACAGTACTACTTGTAATAAAATTTGTCTTAACCAGGTTTTCGATTAATCGTGATTTCCATCCCCACCATTATCCCGGACAATCAAGAGTTGAGTGTATATTTTATCATTGTCTCGGAAAGTTACTGATGCCAGCAGCATAAAATGTTTCATTCTGAATATGTAGTGAGTTCAGGACACTGTGTTTGAGGTCATCATCAGTTTGATTTTCCTGTCCTCCTACATCCATCATCAATGGCCAAAACAAACGAAAATCACTTAGGAGGGTGGTTCATGATTTCCCAGCAAATTGTTGTCAATGGCACCTTTATCAAATTTGTTGTACAAGAACAAGCATTATCGTGCAGTAGGATGATCTTACACTTTCCCAGGTCTTTTCTCCTGAACTGCTTCATGCACATCATTGTGGAGCAATTTACTGTAATTCATTGTTAAACCACGTGGAAGAAAATCACCATGAATCATTCTCTCGTCATGGTCTTGCCAGGTGACAGCTGCGTCTCCGAATTTTTTAGACTTCTTCATGGCATTCAGAAAACTTACTGTATTTATTATAGATATTTGCATGTGACAGGGTCTCTTCCCCATATTCTGCATTTGACACAAGAAAGAATTCTGCTGGTTTCACCCTCTCTTTCATAAGGAATTTGATGATACAGTGCTTCTGCACCAGAAGTGACAATGTCTGATGCCATCATGTAACAGCTCTAACGTGCACAAGTGGAGCACATAGCTGGCTGCAATACAATGAGTGTAGTGCTGCCACAAACTCTCCATAAAAGAGATATCTTTTGTCCAATATCTTCATAAAAAAAATAAAGTCCATGTTAACCCTCAGGCACCCACATATAATTTTGAAGATCAATGTGGGTTCTAAGATACAAAATTATAGGGCTACACTTTGATCTCTATACTAGTTTCAGTTTCCTTTCTTAGGAATTTCAAAATGTGACAGGCATGAATATTGTGACATGTTGCGCAACGGAGAACCCCTCCCTACCCAGCAGCAACATGGCAACTCAGGCCACAGTGACGTGGCAGATGAGTCAGCGCTCCCCACTCCCCCTCCGCACGGTAACGTAACACGCAATGCTACGTACCCGTAACCCAACTTCCAACAGCGTTGCTACGTAACAGGCACACACAGCCACTATATAAGAGAGCTGCGCTGCTTGCGAGGAGAGTTGTAATGTGGCTATCGCCAAGTTCAGTAGTAGTCAAGCGAGTGTGTTATCAACAGTTCTCAAGGCAGCAGCCTGCGAGTCGAGTTGGAAGCTAGCCAGCGGCGAGTTACGAGTGAAAGTGTGATAATCAGTGACAGTTTGTGATAACTGAGAATTGATTGGGAGTGTGTGATACAGTAACACTTATATAGCTCCCGTACTGTGAAACGTGTAGACTACTGACAATAGCGTGATTTGATTTGCGAATAGGGTTATAAATTGTGAAACCCCGCAATATTGTTATAATTAATTGTAGGTTGTTTAATAAACCAATTAACGATCTCTACGGTGTCTTCAGTATCGAAACACGTTACAATATTGTCCATTTAACATGGACTGTTCCAAATTATTAACTTATTTCTGAGCATAATTCCCGCTACAGTAGATTCACAATTTTCCATATATTTTCTAATAAACATGATTTCAACAAAACTAGTATGATTTTTTAAGATCTACTACACATCACATTTCAGGACCCAATTCAGTAGCACTGTTATTACTCCTATCTCAGAAAATTAAACAGCTCCCATGTTCTGAAGTTAGGAAGAAAAAATAATAGAAAGGTGATATGGTTTACATTGGCACAATCTTCATTTAAACTTTCATGAAAATCTGTCAGTTGCTTGAAAAGTCATTAGGAAGGAGACCCAGACAGACATAACACAGCTGTCATTTAAAACAATGACAGTATGAATCCAGAAATTGAACTCAAACACCTAGAAGTATCGGACATACATACACGGTGTGTCCAGGATCAGTTAGGACTCATTGTTTTAATTCTGTCCTGCAATGCTATCTGTTGGCAAGTTGTGGCATTAAGATTCTTGAAGTTTCAACTGTTGCTGTCTATAATTTCAAAGCGTAAGCATTGCTGCATCATGTGTTCTCACCTTGAATGTAACAGTACTGTTCTGATGCTCATCGGAAAATGGCGGTTGAACACAGAATCAACATCAAATTTTGTTTGAAGTTAGGAAAAACAGCTGGAGAAGCACACAAAATGATGAAAACTGTACACGGTAGTGGTTGTTTGAGTCGCTCAAACATTTTTCGATGGTATGCTGTATTTCGTGACAGCAGGGAGGACACTGAAGATGCTCCACATGCATCAAAGCCGAGAACAAGTCACACTGAAGAAAATGTGGAAAAAGTGACCGAAATCCTTGCATCAGACAGATGTGTTTCTGCAAGACTCATCGTGGAGTGTTTGGGAATACCAAAAAGTACTGTGCATCAAATGTTGACTGAGGATTTGGGCAAACAGAAGGTATGTGCGCGGTTTGTACTGCACGCGCTGTTAGGCGATGAAAAACATGCCAGAGTGGAACACTGCAAAGACATGTTACGGTCGGCCCAAAGTTATACAAAATTTACAATATCAATTGTTACTGGTGAGGAGACATGGTGTTTTCAATATGAGCCTCTCATAAAGCAGCAGAGTGCAGCATGGTTGAGCCCAAAGAAGTCGAAACCAAAGAAAGTGCGCATGCAAAAGAGTCGAGGAAAGACACTGCTAACCATTTTCTTCGATTCCAATGGAATCATTCACAAGGAATTTCTGCCAGAAGGTCAAATAGTGAATTTGGATTATTATCTTGGAGTCCTCAATCATTTGTGGGCGAGAATTCTTCGAATTCGACCTGAATATCGAGAGTAAGGTTCCTGGTCACTCCTCCATGACAATGTTCCATCCTACAAATCGAAGATCATGCACGATTTTTTGGCCAGAAGAGTGATCACAGTCCTTGATCATCTTCCGTATTCGCCAGATTTGGCTCCAGCAGATTTCTGGTTGTTCCCAAAAGTTAAGTTGGTGATGAAATGAGACAGTTACGACACCATCCAGAACATCCAAAGGGAATGTACCACAGTTTTAAATGTGATTCCACAAAGAGAGTATAGTGACTGTTTTTGAAAACCTTTCAATCGATTCCAGTTATGTATTGATTCAGAAGGAGACTATTTTGAATAAAGAGTGAAATTTTGAAAATAATTCACGTCTTGTATTTTTAATGAACACAGTCCTAACAGAACCTGGACTCACTGTGTACATGGCACATGTGTAAAATGACTCTCATAATCAATTCAACAAATATCTGCCTACCCATGCCAGCTGCAATCGCTGGAATTTCAATCTTGTAGTGGAAACAGATATAAGACATGAGTATGAAATCCCCATAGCTTCGATGACTAGGTGCGAAGATTACGGGGTTGTCACCCATCACTGACAACACCTACAATGATAAACAGTGGAAATTAGTTAAGAGAAGCAACAAGAATACAAAGAAAGTAATGGTGCAACTGAAACAGAATAACTTAATGTATAATTCTGAATAGTCCACAGGGCACAGTGTTATTCTTAGAGAAAAGTTTGGACCACCCACTCTCATGTCCCTCAGCTACTATGTGGAGTTCACAAAAAATATCCATGAAAGACCATTGTACAAATTGTTATCCTCAGTGAAGTTTACAATATAAGATTTGAAGTTCTCACAGTGGTGACTGAAAATTAACGTCTTCTGGGATATTATGCCATGTGATTTGGTGGAGAGGTACCACTGTATCAGCAGCGTATTGCAGAAGACAGTAATCTCCAGCAGTTTATGCAATTTGGCCCAGTGATTCAAAAGTTTATTTAGGTCCTGTATATACAGAAAATTCTGTGAACAGTCTTCTATTCATGACACCAGCCTAAACATGCTAATGCCTATAGACAATTTCAGTATCAATGAAGGTAAAATATTCTTCAGTTTGGCAGCATAAGAATGAATACATCAATCACAACCTTAGTCCTGAATGGACAAGGGTAGTTATCTTCGAATTCCAGCCACCTTAATCTTCAGTGAAAGAGGTCCTAATATCCACTAAATCCTAACATTGCCACCAGGACTTCAATCCTCATTACCAAGACTGCAGACCATGGATTCACAGATTGAGTTGTTTTCACTCCAAAGAAAATTCAGTACTATTATGTAACTCACCCTATTTTGTGCATGAGTGGGTTTATGGGCATGGCAGCAGATATGATTATTTGAGCCTTGATTAAAATCAAGTTAAAATATCTAAGATTTGAGGTTATCACGGCGATGACTATGAAGAATGTCGTCTTCTTGGATGTGGCGCCATGTAGATCTTGTGTGAACCGATGTTTCGGAGGAACGTCAGTTCACACAAGATCTACATGGCGCCACATCCAAGAAGATGGCATTCTTCATTTTAAAATATCCCTTATTTAAGAGAATACAATCAAAGACTTGTCAAACTGCATGATGGTCTCACTACAGCATGTAAGGATGTAAAAGAAACTAAGGTTAAAAACTGACTGCAAAGCATGCAGTGTAAGTGCAAGCTAGATCATGAGAAATGATGACCAAGGGACTACTCGGCCAGGAGAATAAAGGAGTCAATTTTACAAACCCACATACACCTTAAAGCATGTTGAAATGAAGAAAAAAATCAAAAGAAAAATATTTCAAAAGGCTGTACAAGGGCCAGTCAATCTTTAAAGGCAATAGTAAGCATAACATGATTCCAGAAGAGAATTAAAATACAATCAGTTTTATAGACTTGTCCACTCCTGCAGCATAAAGACATACGTACATTACAGTGATCATCTAATATGTTCCACAACCAACCACGAAGGTGAAATGTTTGACATTCCCCATCATAATGAGGGTATTCCAGCAAGATGTGTGGCAGCAACAGCAGTATTAGTTTGTGCAGCTACACAATTAACACAGCATCATCAGGGGGCAACATTAGGACCAACATTTCAAACACCCGAACTTCCATGTCAATCCAAAGCAAACATATGAATAAACAAGAAATTACAATCAGATAATTCACACAAGAATCACCAAATAAGAGCCACAAGAGAGCAAGCAAGAAATAATATGAATATAATAAATAAAATAATATGAAGCTTCATCTTTTCAGTTCCCTGTAGAGATACACAGGTTGGAAGTCATGCTGAAATCACGGGAAAGCACCTCAGACATAGGAAAGATTTCATCTGGTGAGGCAGGGTTTTAAGACTGCAGGAGACTTTGAACACTAATAACTAAATAACCCTAGAAGAGGAAGAAAATGGTAATTGTTGTGGTAGACAAACATGGCCAAACCAATATGAGGAAGAGATGACGAATATGGGGATGATGTGGTAGCCATTCAGCATGCAAAGAGTGACAGTGAGGAAGAAGAAAGAGGTGATTACAGAATGGTACAAATGATGCACGAAAATGGTAAAGGCAAAAATGAAGGAATGGAACACCTGAGAGTCCCCTCGCAGGACAAGGACCAACCAATCTTGACAGAAACTCACCCTATTAATACTGGTTTCATTTACATATAAGCCATTGCATGTTCTCTTCAGTACTTTGAGTAGCAACAGGCCCAACCAACGGATCACTGGCAAACGGCGGTTATATCCTATCTCATCTAATATACTCTGCACAGTCTTGTACAGCTGCTCTTTTGGTACCTCCTGATCCTCGCTTGCCTGAAACAAAATAGCACTCAATGTTACATTGGCCTGCAGCCTGAATGCATCTGTACATTACTTGTATGTCTTGAAAGTGCTGCACAAAATAAATTGATGACAAATTTTTCAGATTCAATAAAAAATGTGAGTTATATTCCTAAATGAATACTTTTCAATGGTTTTTGTAAAATGCTTTCACAGCCAAAGCACGTTGTGCTCCAGTCCACAGCTCCACTGCAACTAAAATGCTTTGAAGTAGGCTGCTGGGTGGCAGTAGTAACAATCTGCCCACTCCAACCAATCCGGGAAAAAACACCACTGCCAAATCGCCCGATTCATTGACGCACCTTGTATATGAAAGCTATTGTAACATGTACTGCTAAGGTACATGTGTTCATCGATACAAAGTTGTGTGATACTTGTGACTGTTAATTATATCGTGTGCACTTCCTTGTATGGGCATTATGTATGTACTACACTCTGCTTAGCTCAATGTGTACTATATATGTTTGGGGCATGCAACAGGATACACGATGTGGAGATAAATTCTTTGTTCTCTGACACACCACTGTTGGTTCACTGATTATACAAGCTAGATCATGAGTATGCTGCATAAACATCTGGGCCCCTAGTCTTTGTATCATTATTTTCCTAAGCATAACATCAATGTAGTTTTATTTAGGGAGACAGTATCTATAAGTTACTGAAATTTAATCATAACTGCTATAGCAGTGTCATTTTGTTTTTTTTGGAGCCTATCTGAAATTCTCCTATTTTTGGAGCAGAATCTTCAAATTCACATTGCAGTAACCTATGACGGATAAATTCTTAAATATCAAATATGAATAAAGCACATGTAACCATTCATGTGCTAGTGAGGGCTCATATATATACACATATACATACTGGTACATACAAACAAGACATATGGCATTACAAAAACCGTTTTTGTTATTCAGGGGGCTGAGAATGTGTAAATCTGCCAAAGTCTTGAGACTGATTTCTCACCATCAAAATACAGTATGTGCCAAAAATATAGTACTGAAATGAAAAGACGTCCTGTTGATACCACTCTCAATTCATGTGAAGGCCCCTTCCACGACAGAACCTTCTCAAATCCTGAAGAAATGGTCCGATCACCATGTCCCTGTAGCGTTCCTGGGTGACAGTAAGAACATTGTCTTCCTCATCCTCAATGAAATAGGGGCCTAATATACCATGTGCTGAGATGGCACACCATATCGTCACACGTGTACTGTGTAGCGGTTTCTGGACGGTAACATCTGGCCGCTCAAAACCAAGCAAGATGTCTGGTGACCACTTCTGTATGAGCAGAAATAATACTCAACTATGAATACTTTTACCTCCGTCGAGAGATCCATATCCAACAACTGCACAACACAACTTCTTTTTCGCTACTGGGAACACATGCGGCTGGAGCTATGCCCCGTCAACAAATGCACATACGTGTTCGAGATGCATTAGTTAAAGTACTGCATATTTTGGTGCATACTGTATTTTCTCACAGATACTATGCATATGAGAAAGTGGTAACAGTTATCAAGCGATGGCTATAATAATCAATCAGTTTCAATGATACTGTTCTCATACCTTAATTACTTGTATATTTTGTGATTGCAACTTTCAAGAAATATTACTGACAGCAGCTGCATAAAAATCTTATCAAATATTCCTGTCTAAATTAGCTCCATATACAAGTAGACTTACTAACAATCATCAGCGTAAATTTTAATACAATAGGGCAACTGATAATTAGATATTCTGCATTAATCAGACACTAAAGAAGAAATGGGACTACAGCAGTTGTTTATAGACTTCAAAAAACCTACAATTTTAATGAGGAGAGAAATATTTAAGTATTCTCACTGAATTCTTATACCCATGAAACTAGTTTAAATTATACCTACAGCTGGGTGTCTACAGGTAAGAATTTGTCTAATCCATTTCCCATTGATTAACCTGAAACTAGGAGATGCTTTATCCCCACTGCATTTCATATTTTCTTTCCTCTGGCTACAGCATGAGAAAGGTTGCAGTGAACTGGGTCTGAACAAGATAAATCAGTCACAGTTTTATGCTGATGATGTTAATTTACTGGAGAGAAACAAAAATTGGTTTGTCACTGAATATAGCTCGTCACTCAAGGCAACTTGAATATAAGTATGCTTAAACACTACAGCTTATGTCTGTTTAAATATCAGTTACCACAGCTGCTATGACCATCCGAGGCACTTCAGAATTTACATTTTTACATTAATATGATTTTCAGGAACACAGAACCATAAGAAAATATTTACATAAGAACATAAAAGAAAATTTGATTGCAGTAAAACATCACACACGAACAAAAAACTCAACTGTCTGACAAAACCAAATAAGCATAAATTTACCCATTCCAAGATACTAAAATAGCTAAGCTTACTTACAAAAATTTCCCATAAATTATTTGAATTCTGAATTAACACATCATATAGGCCAATGATGACCTAACATAAGCATTTATTTTCCTATTACAAGATACTGAAACAGTTGAGCTTGCTTATTTTATGTTCTACAGTGTCAAATGGTAGGATGATCAGTGAATAATGAATCCATTTGTATNAATATCAAAGACATATTACAGCGCTTTTCACTGACAATACACACCGCACTAATACTGTATATTAAAGGTAGGCCTACTCACCAAATTACAGTAGATTACATCAATTGTTGTGCCTTACTGTACCTAGATACGAGTACAGTAATCAGTTATCTTCATCTGTTTCCTGTTACTTGCCCAATACACACTTTCTAAATTACGTTCAATGTCCATATCAGAGAAATTCAGAATGAAAATGACGTTACATAAGAGGTTGATGCATTTGTGCATATCGTACTAAGCAAGGTATAAAAACAGTTGCTTTATGAGGAATTAGTTCGTACCATTGAATATAAGACGCAATAGACAAGGTGTTGCAGAAACCGATGTTGCTATAACCAAGTTTTACTGTACTATCATAGCATTTTCCTGGAAGGGCTGAAGAAAAACAGCGAGCCTTAATCAGGATATGTGATGTCAGAATCAAGATTCAAACCACGCACCACCACTGCACCAACCTGCTCAGCTTTAAAACATGGAAGGATTTATGATCAAGAAATGTGTTAGAGGAAATTAAGTGTAATTAAAAAAAGTTTGTGTGATTTTAAAAACAACACTAATGGTGACTGCAACATCAGTAAAATTACTTTCTCAATATGCAGTAAATTATGATATACAGCAACCAGGTGGATCACAAACGGATAAAGGTAAAGGTAAGGGGTAAAGCCATCGCTGTAACTGGCTGTGGAGACCCATAGGGTTGTGAGATGTCAAGACTCCCACATTTTGTAGGCAATGGGTTAACAGCTGGCGGTAAGGTTGTCAGCCTTACATGCTGGCTGATCGGCCACCCTTTACTCCCAGGAAATTCCTGGTACCCATTTCTGCCAGAGGCTGAGTCGACCATAGGGCGATACTGCAGCTGAAGGATTAGGTCAACTGAAAAATCCAATGACCTTGTCAGGAATCGAACCCGCAACCTTCCAGCTTGTAGCATAGGGCCTCAACCAACTACACTACCACATAGCTAGGAATGAATAAAGAAGAAAATTTAATTCATTCATTATCCAATCAGTGACAGCCATAACTGCATTACAATATCCTATAATATATAGTATATTCAACCATGTGTGTTTTTGATTGGCTGTTTAGCAATGCTACCCATGTTGAGACTATACAGCGTCAATGACAGGTTGATTAATGAATGTGGAGAAGTTGGTGGAATGAGAATTGGCAGGGGAAACCAAAATGCATGGAGAAAACCTACCTCAGTGCCATACTGTCCACCACAAATCACGCATAACCTGACCTGGGATTGAATCCAGGCTACTGCAGTAAGAAACCAATTACTAACCACTTCAGCTATGGTAAAGCCTATAACCTCGTGTTCAGCAGGACACTGTATGAAAAGACGCTAACCAATCTTGTGGAACTGCAGTATGCAATATTAGACAAAAACCCATTTTTACATTTTAACTTCACACCATTCAGATTTGTGAGGTGAAAAACAACATTTTGAAGTTTTGTAAGCTCTTAGGTTACTTAACAAATATGATCTACTGCCATGATATTTTTAGGCATATAGAAATAACACAGTTACCATCCTATAATGAACTATTCTACATGAAATGTTAAACTTATATGGTGACATATTACACACATCTATAATTACTACCTATGGTAATGTAACCTGTGAGGTCTAATCTTTCGTTCAATCATCAATGGCTCTACAGCCCTTTGTTGTGCCTCAGCCCTTTTTTTAGTTCCATAACCCTACACACAGCTGGTAAAACTCCTTGGCTGCAAGGCCGCTGCCTACACACAGAACAGCACAAACACAGAATAAATGCATACATACATCCATGTCTAAAGTGGGATTCGAACCTAAGACCTCAGTGTTCAAGCGGACAAAGATCCTTCATAAACCTAAAATTCAAGGTGACAATAGCAGATGCTTTTAATACTTGTTTTTTAGCAATAAGAAAAAGAAACCGCATGTACTTTATACGGTTCTACTGTACTAATTCAACATTACAGTAAAAAAAGTACAGCCATCCCTGTAACAGGCCGTGAAGGCCCACAGGGTTGTGAGACATTGGGGGTCCCTATTATCTAGACAATCGGCTCTAAGATGGCGGTAAAGTTGTCAGCCTTAAGCGGCGGCCTCGTTCTACTCCCCAGGAAAATTATTTAATTAATTCCTTGTACTCATTTCTGTTAAAGGCTGAGTTGAACCCAGGGCCATAGTGCAGCTGGAAGGACTAGGTCAATTGAAAAAATCCAATGACCTCATCGGGACTTGAACCCGCAACCTTCCAGCTTCTAGCATAGTGCCTCAACCAACTATGCTACCGCTTGCCCTCAATTCAATATTATATGCATAATCAAAATACTGATCCCCCCCTTAAAAATATTTACTGATGTTAGTATTCTGCTACTAAATACTTAATTTACATGATAATCATCATCCTCGCTGGCAAAACGGCCCTTTCTGAGCCACAGCTTTCCTTAGAAAATTCTGCCAGATTTGTCCATTCCTGGGAATTAGACCGTCTGGTTTCCACTTTTCTGGATTTGACAATAATAATTTAACAAAATATGAAAAGCCTGTCACAACTGTGATCTTCCGGAATACAGGGCACAACAAAAATAATTTATACAAGTCTTTATTAGAGTCTGTCACAACACAACAATACAATGGTCAAGGCTAAAATTAGCTTACCTACATGTTTACCATATTCACACACTATTGAACTGCAATTGCGATGGTGAAGCTGGATACTTGATAATTATTACATTATAAAATATATGGTATAAAAATACAATGGACTATAAACTTATTATAAAAACAAAAGTTACTGCGTAAAATATGGTTAAAAACTCTTCGTGTGATATTCCATATCATCNAGTCCAAAATCCCAACATATCAGTGTATCAACTCAGTTGTTGCACTTTTTTTATATTCCCGCGGACATACAGCAGTATAATCAAGACTTGTATACATGTAATAAACTGCTTGGAGGTCCGTGATATAGATGTAGTATAGTTTTGCCATTAATCATTTGCCCGGTACCTCATCTTACAGTGTATTTTGTCCATTCTGTAGGGAATGTAGATTGCAACTGATTGCAACATGTAGCTAAGCTAATTCTAGCCTTGACCATTGTATTGTTGTGTTGCGACGGGCTCTAATAAAGAACTGTATATAATAAAACAACAGGATGCATGAATTGAAAAAAATTATTTATAACATTTGTAAAAGAATGTATAAAATATACAGAATTTTATATCCCTGATAAAATGTTTCCTGATACTGAGAACAAAACTTATTGAACTCCTAGAAACATTAATTTTATCTAATGCTTCCACATGCATACAGAGATGAGCAGAAATTAAAATTTTAATAATTACACAACCTACACATAACAAATTAATTTGGTGAACAAATTCCATTGTCTTTAGTTGTATTTAAAATTACACAGAATTTCAGAAGCTGGCCCTGCTTCCATCATCATGTGTAAAAAAGGGGAAAGGATCCTACTCAACTGAGTCCATTAAACCAAGCTAGTCCCAATCACTAGGCTAGCTCTGTTCAACAGACATAACTTTAATGTGCAATTTATAATTAATAGCCTACTTTCTTTTGAAAGGCTGCAGTGTTGGTATTTCTGAGGAGAGGGATTTATTGAGTACGTACCCAGTTTCATGAAGATTGGTTAAGGCATTCCAGTAACTTTAAGGTTACTATGGCAACAATTTGAGGGGCTGCAATGTTGCTATTACTAATAGAAGGGATTACATACATACATACATTTCATTTCACAAGTCCAAACAAATGGACATGAAGGTCATCATACAAAATTTAAACAAACACACAGATAACGAAATAATTAAAACTAATTGCTTATGTTATGCTCCACATATTCAGAAACTGTATAAAAGGAATTATTCATAAGATATAAAAACAAATTTAAACAAACACACAGATAACAAAATAATT